AAAATTAATAAAATTTAATATAAAAAAATTTTTTAAACAAAAGGATGGACAATCTCCTCCCATGTGATTAATAGCCTCTGAAAACCCACTGGAGGGTCAGCTAAGGGTCTGTTCCAACTATGTGGTATACAATGAGAAAGTAATCAGAAAAATATCCTTCTTACTGCATTGAAACAGATGAGGGAGAGAACCGTTTAAAAGCAATATGTTATAGGGCATTATGATTAAGTGTCCAGAATGAAGGTTGCAGAGTGGAGTATACTCAGGGTGGGCGTTGGGGGGGCACGGGTGTATTGTGTACCAATGAAGGAATTTTCTTTTACTTTTCAAAGAGAAGAGTGAGCTGGGGGGTGGGGGAGGGGAGAAAAGTGCAACAATGAATGAATGGAAATCCAAAAATCTGTGTAAATGTTCACTGAAATTAATAATCATTTAAAAAAACTTAAAAATTATATTTTCCATAAAAAACATATCCTTCTTACATCTCACATTCAAACTCATGCTTTCAAGTTGGAACTAATTCACAACATTTCAGAGGGTTTCTGAGGCAGTCACACACACAAGAGGAGACCATCCATCTGTCTCTCATAGAGCTGCTGGTGGATCTGACCCGTCTACCTTTGGGATGGAAGCACAACTCCCTACACACGAGGCCATCAGAGCTCTCTTTCTTATGACTGTTGTTTGTGCCTTTGTGTTAGAACTAACCCACAGCTGACCCTCCAGTAGGTTTTCAGAGGCAATTCATTGCAGGAGAAGAGATTACCCATCTTTCTCCCACAGAGCCTTTCCACCAAATCCTGGAATCCCACCAAATGCTGGATTTGAATTGCGTGCTTTCAGGATTACAATACAACTTCTTAGCACTACCAGGCCACATTAGATTATACCCACTGGATAAGGTTATAATTTCATCATAAGAGATTTTCAAGCACAGCTTTATTTAATGGAACACAAATGAATATAAGCCAGGGTCTCGTACAGATTCCAAAAAACTCAGGGTTTATCACTATTCTCTCTAAACTGAAAAGGAAAAATATGAACTCATGCTTGGAAATGCAGAGGGTCTGAAGAAGAAGGGAAGATCCTCAAAGAGCTGGGCTGGCAATGGCTGTGACAATGCACTTAAACGTGTAGCAGCCACTCCAAGGATGGGGTCACTCTACGACTCGGACAGCAACGACAGTAAGAGCTCATGATGACACCGTAAGTCAGCTCCTTCAAAATCACATGAAATGAAGAGAACTAAATGGGGAAACTGTCATTTTCAGTTGGTCCACATTATCAGCACAAAAGTGAGTAAACTTAGGTCATAGACATTGACCTCAGACTGAACTGAGAACATCCAGACCCCAGGAGGTGACCACTTCCTGTCCATCTGACTACCCCTCCCTCAGCCTGACTCCTCAGGAGGGCAGATCTCATGGTTTCTTCTCCCTGAACTTGCCTCATTCTACCAGAAGGTTGACCGTACTACCTCTCAGTTTCATTTTTAAAATGCCACGGCTTTTCATTCTTTTCCAGTCACCATGGTTCTACTTAACATTCCTGTGGTACTGCTTCAAAGGCCAAAAAAGGGCATCCTGAATAGAGTAACACCCTGAAGGCTGGGGACATCTCTGGCACTTTTTAATTCATAAAGAAGTGCCCTACCACCACATGGATCAGGCTTAAGTAGAAAACCTTACTGAAATGGTGTTAATGATTTAACTGCTTAAACAACACAACGTCTCAAAAGAACACAGAGACTGTTCTTTCATTCCTTGAATCCCCTACAGGTTAGCACAGCACTCCCGGCCAGGTCGCGGGATTTATTCAGTCTAATGCAGACATTTGCCAATGAACCATTTACAACATGAAGTGTTCAAAGAAGATTAAGCATAAGTCACTCCACATGATTCCCTGCCTAAAACCCTCCAACGGCTCCTTACTGCACTTAGGAATAAAATCCTGGAGGGAGAAAATCCGAAGCGCCTGCTGTCAGTCATGAGACCCCTCCCTGCCCACTCACCCCTCCACCCTTTCTGCTCTCTGCTGTAGTCACGTGGCCTCCACCTATCCCCCCTCAGATGCTGTTTTC